GGAGTGGGGATGCTGAGAGGCCAGGACCTGGGGCCCTGTATTGTTCAATTTATGCGTGTTTGTGTGCGTGTTCCACTCAGGAGTTATTCTTGCCGCCATGGAGCCCTCCGCTCGCCCGACTTTTCGCCAGTTAGCAGTTTGTGGGCGCCCAAGTAGGCCAAGCACCCGGACCTGGCCAAGTGCAAGCCCCAACAGTCAACAGCCAGCAGCCAGCAGCCAACAACATCAGCTACAAGCGACGGCAGCAGCCTGGAAGTTGTTTATTTAAGTGTGAAATTTAAGTGCAACACTGCGTAATGTGTAAGGACCCAGCATATTTAGCATTATGGCTGGGGCAGATAAGCGACGTCAACTTTAATAACCTCGGGCAGCGTAGGGGTAACTGAGCTGCCGTAATCGTAATGCCGTAATTTGACCTGCTAATAGATAATAAAACCAAATCCCGTCGAGCAAACATCAGCCGGCAAGTCCGGGGCACAAAAAAGCTGAAGAAAAAGTGTTATTGCAGCGGAAAAAATGTGGAATGCACTACGTACCAGCGGATTTTTGGCGCCGCCACTGACCAAACGAAATAAATAAAACAATTTGTCGCCGATTTTTGGGGCCAGGCAGACGCCAAGCCAAATTAGCTAAAAGTTTGGACAGCCACTTAGTTAATTGCCGCTGCGATTCAAATTAAACATACAAATGCAGGCGACCAACTCATAAATTGTGACTAAAAAACAATGACAGCTTACACCACTCCTTTGGCCATGTAATGTTCAATTAGTTTTATTACCGAGGGTGCTACTCGGATGGAAAACAATAGATACATTCCTCTTGAAAGCAGTTGAAATTTATTTGCATCCACTAAGCTCCTAATTATGTAAACTTGCTATTTTAATTACTTGATTAGCTTAGGACTTGTTTCCTACTAGTGCATTTACCTTAATTACACTGGGCATTTTCTTTTCAATATATACGTATATCATTACTAGAATAGGTGCTATGCTGAATAAACATCGTATTTAACCACTTATAGCTGGGAGTTTCCAAAAAAGTTACAAGTTGAAAGTTTCAAAAAAATATTAATCTGCATAAATCAGATTACAAAAGGAAGTATAACATGTAGTGCTGGGTAATATACAGTCAATATATACTAGAAAGTTAAAATTGCTTTGTGTGCGCTTAAAATGAACATCCAGTCAATTAGGCTTGGAATAAAAATGAATAGAAGTGGCGCAGTTCAATAAATGCATTTTTTCATGGGGAATTCAGTTGGCAATTCAATTTTTGTCCATTTAAATTCAAATCCATTTAGATGCGCGCTAACAAAGGCAAAATATGGAAAACAATAGAATCGTTAATGGTAAATTTAATATTTGCACTCTGCATTTAAGCTTTTTGCTAAGCATTCGCAGGTTTAACAATATACCAGATTCGTTGGGCGTTGGCGAATTTTGTGGTGTCGACGAACACTATAAATCAACTGTCAATCAAGGAATGCTAAATAAATGGAAACACAACCAAACTTGAATAAAGTTCTATTCGCAAACTTTACTCTAGCGCCCTCGAAACTAGCGCCCAAGAATAGCCTCAGAAAAAATTCATACTGAAGTTGAGCCAACTGCCAGGCCATGACAGACAGATTCTGGTAGGATATGACCAGAATCCAGCCAAACCCCCAAAAAAGGATGCCATCAGAATGGACGCTAATTAGCGGGCAAAGTTAAATAAAAATCAGCGAAAATTGTGCTTTCAGTGCAGCACGGCATATGGTAAGATAATTAATTAATACTCACTCGCCTGATTGGTGGAAAACGATAGTCGGGGCCGAGGCAATTAGCCAAGTTCTGGGCACAGGCCAAAGGCAAACAATGATGAACCCTTGCCGCTGCCTCATTTCCCTCGCTGTTGCCGTCTCAGTCCCCCGTTCTCGCCCTCTCTCTTTCTCTCGCTCGCCTTGCAAAGTGGTTGTGGGTGGTGGCATCATATTTTTATTCACTTCACTGAAGAAAAGTGCACCTAATGGAATATGCATGCAATAGCAAATATTAACATTGATAACAAGACTTCACTCTTTGGATTTATGGAATAATCAGTAGCTACAGCCAGTTCTATTCCAGAACTATTTGCGTAATTTGCTTGAATTTCGAAAGTAGGGATAGATTCATTTTTGGAAACCCGAAGCTGCGATTTTTCCAGCAGTGCTCTTTTCCGCTTTATATGTGAAACGTTTTTACATTTGCTTTTTTATTGCTCTGCTGCCTTTTGCCTTTGCACTGTGCCCCCCCGTTTTTGTATTCATGTTGTTGTTTTTCCGCTGGCTTGCTACTGAGCTTGTTTCTTGGAAAATAATGACTGCACATTAAGTGTCTGCACACACACATGCTGGGAGGACAAGGCAAGTAAAATGTCAACAAATGACAACAGAAATATGATGCAAATGGCTCATGTAAGTGGTTCTTGCCGCCAACATTTATAAAACAGGACAACTTACAATGCAACAACAGCAAAGCGGCTGGAAGCGGATGGAAGCGAAAGGAAGCGAAAGGAAGCGGCAAGGAGAAAGTGGGAGTTGAAGTGAGGGGCGTGGCGTGGCGTGGCGGCGTCTGTCCGCTGTAAACATTCTCCATTCTACTTGGCAATTTTTCATTTCCCATTTCACTCCGCCATTCAAGTATAATTCGCAGTGCTTAGAAGGGCAAGAGGCGGCGTTTGCTTAATGTTGAAATTAGCTTTTATTCGAGCATCGCGCATACGCCGCGTTGGCCGGAGTCGTTGCCATTGAAATGCCTTTCAAGAAGACCCTCGGCTGCAATTAAAAGCGCATTTAATAGAAATTGTTTAAGTGCAATCGCATGTCAAGGGTATCACAAGGCAAGAAATGGGTAGGAAATCGGATGGTGTGCTATTATCTTGATCATAGATCCACAGAACTGTTTAATTTTATACATTACACTGCAGGAACTTATCAATTTAAGACAGATATAACAACCATATGACTCATAATTTAATTGCATATCTTTTAATATCCAAACACATATGAGTACCCTTTCTGGGGTCGTGCCTTCAATTAAGACCCAGAGCATATGGGGAATGCCATTGCCTTCTCGGACTATGTGGCTAATCAGCGTTATGTGCGTTAAGTCAACAGCCGCATCAACATTATCATCTTTATTTGTACAAAATGAAACTGGCCAAAGCCGAAGCTGATGCCAAAGCCAAAGCCGCACACTCACACAATTTGGCAATTTGCGGCGAACAGCGGTCAACAAAAAGCAGTTCGGGCAAAGAACCATCCTGGATGGCCGTCCAGGACTACACTGACATTCGGTCATTCGGTCAGTCTGCCAGTCAGTCAGTCAGGCAGCCAGTTGGTTGGATTTGGATGGTACTCGCTTTGGTGATGGTTCTGTTCCTGGCCACTCGACTACATTGATATTCCACGCTCGATGCGCGCTGCTGTTGCCATTGGTCATTGAGGCTCACTCATCCTTCGTCTCCACTCCTGGCCACTAACGATAGATGTCCTTAAGCCAGCACACACTCGCACATATTGCTATAAAAAAATATTTATCTATATGGCGATATACGGCCGAACTGCACGGCCATGGCTATAGCTATAGCTATAGCTATCCGGCGATCCGGGGATCCGGGTTGCCGGGCAACTTTGTCCAAAAAATGTTGCCGGGGCCGAGCGGCGATGCTTTGTTAACTTTTTCAGTTTAATGAAATCAATTCACAAGTCACGTTGTTGCTGGACAATAAATACATCAGAGTCCATTTAATAAAATCATGATGTGCACTTTGGGATGATACCAGCTCGCCGCACATATATCAACTTTGGGTGGCCATATCGTATCGATTCGTATTCGTGTATTGCAAATAACTTTCGGCTCTCATTGGAATGCCGCATATGGCATATCCTCGTATATGGACCCCACTGCCCCCAGTTCCTGCTCCCCAATTGCTCGATAAGTGCGCGGCAGTGCTAAAACTTAAATCAAAATCCACATTGAGCCACTGCAGCGTTAGCCTCCAACTCCCCGGCAATTTGTTGCGGATTCTGACTTGGTTTTCGGTGGTTCATTATATTGATCTGTGGCTTGGCTGTTTGCTTTACGTCTTTCGCACAATCATTTTTATTTGAGTGCCTCCAGAAAGGCGAACTGAGTTTTTGGGTATAGGTGGTTGGGGAGCATGGAACAGTTCTATGTGTGCATCGTTCTGGGGAAGGTACTTACTATTTGATATGAGAAACTAGCAGCCATTTTCACAGGCATAATTAATGGCAAAATAGGTTTCATATTTCGGAAATTCATAAGTCAGAAAAGCACAAAATGTAAGTATTAAATAAATATTAACAAGCACTCGAGTATTTAATTAAATGTTCCTGCAACAATACCAGCCACAAACTCTGCATATGCTGAAACTTAAAACATTCTCATTACCCAAATAACGTAATTAAGATGCTAAAATATTGTAGCGCAATTATAAGACGATTCTCATGTGTTTTGTGTGAATGTAATTCGATTACATTAAGCATAGCAAGCGTATATGTGAATGATGTTCCATGGCCTCGGCCACATTTTTGATTTCCTTTGCATTACTATCTATACGGTTATCAAAAACCAGTTTTTGTTCTGTAACCACTATTTCTGGCTGTTCTCACACCCAACCTGCTTCTGCGCACCTCAGCAGAAACAGCTGTTCTGTTCCCACTATTGTCCTTAGAGGATGAAGGACCTCTCCCTCGCCCAGACAACTGTTCTACGCTCAGCTGATTGAGCGCTCTTCGAGTGCTCTCCGAGTGCTCTCTTAACCATGACCATAGGTAACTTGGAAAGGCTTGCACCGAGCACGGCGAATTCCAGGTCCTTTCTCTCTTAGCCGAGCGCAGCGAGCCATGGCCCAGTGTTATACAATCCGTCCGGAAACGAGAGCCGGAGTCCACGAAGCCCCCCGAGTGGAGGCGAGGACGCCACTCGGCTGACGAGCCATTCCGACTCCGATTCCGGGTGCGTGTGCACAGCCTCCGTGCATATCTGATGGCCAGCGAGCGAGTCAGTCAGATGCGTGGCGAACGTTGAATTTAACGGTCGGTTTGGCAGTGAAAGTGGAAAGTGGAAGCCATTGCCGTGCTCCGCGAGCCTGGCCAGCGAATTGTTTGGTGCGGAAAACAAAAACAAAAATCATTAAAAATTGCAGAAATATATACAAGCCGCAAAAGAAATATGAAAGTGAATGTTAGCCCGAAAGGGGAAATACATTGAAGTGCTTAGCTTGCTGATACAATCCGGTTCAAACAATCCGCAGGAAAAGTGTTCAAACATTGCGTCAGTTAAACTTGGGAAATAAAATCAAGTGATACCATCACGCTTGGAGTTGGAGCCTTCAAATTTGCTGGTAAATTATTCAAGCAAGTTTAATTTTTCGGGGGAATAGCAGTCTTAGATCCTGTGCCGCCATAAAGTTATACAAATTATTGCCATCCTGACTGCCTGACTGCCATTTGGTCGGCTTTAAACTTTCGGTTCACGCAGCGTTCGCATTAAATTTCTTATTTTGTTGTTTTCCTGCCCTTTATTTCCTTTCCGCTATTCGCGTGGCACATGCGGCGTATACGCAATGTATCTCCTCCTATTTTACTTGTGTGTATGCGTGAGTGTGTGTGTGTAACCTACATTTTTGTGGTCCTCGTTGTTTTTCCTCTGACAGACTGACAGTCACACAATACCGAAAACAGGATCTTGAGATGGGCGCCCGAAACCGTGACTTTGCCAGCTGAAAGTTAATTTTATGGATTTACGGCTTCTGTTTGCTCCTAAATACGAACTACTAAATACTGACTGATCCACAAGTTGGCGATGCTCTATATATTAATTTTGCAATATGACCGAATAGTTTGTCCGAGAACTTGGTCTCCGTTGGACGCAGTCCGCCGTTTGTCTTCATCAACTTGGGCTAACTTCTACCAAGTGATTGTTAATTTTGTTTGATTTGCTGTTTTTGTTTTGGCTGTAGCTGTTGGCTTTATTTGATTTTAGTACTTTGCCAGAGTCAACATTCGTTAGCAAAAATTTCGCTCACGTTCCATTCGAGCGAGCTCTCGATTTCATGAGTTTTGGATGCTGCTGGTCCGTGTTTGCTTCTCCGTTCCGCCGCTTAGCCATCACTGCTCCGTACAGCAGTACATATATATTCCTATTTCAATTGCTGTTTTTTGTCACCAAGTGTCTGGCTGTTTCTCCCCAGCTTGTTTTTTGTTTCTCCGCCACATGCACCGCGCACAAATAAATATATATAAATCGGGCGGATATATGCGCCATGGTCCGATGTACTTGCTGCGGCGAGTGGCGAGTGGAGCTTAGCAGGTCTGTCCTTAAGATTATTTATGCGGTGATTAGCCGCTCTGAATTATTGCCGAAATTATCAAGTGTGCTATAAAATTTCACTGCCATTTATTTGCGCAACTTTTGGCGGGGCTCACGTACTCCTAACCGACCGCCCGATCCGATCCGATCCGCCCCAACTCCATTCTCCATTTACTCCACTTCAGTCCGCTTCAAGCGGCGCCGTCTCATGTGTATCGTTGGCTCAAATTCTGCAACGGTTTGGGTTTGGGTTGGATTCCTGGATTCCCCGTTCAGATTCGGGTGTTCGGGTGCGTGCGAGGGAGTGTAACAAATTGCCAGAGTTTGATTTTTAAGTGTGAAATATCGCACAACGAAATTGGATTAATTACGCTGGGGCCGGTTAGATTGCGTTCGCTTTAAAAGTCAAGAGCGCTGCCAAAAAGTTTATTTTAGAGTTAAAAGCGGTTCGCCAGAAAAGGGATTTTAAGCGGAATAATCTTGATTAGCCACGATTGAAACCACTATGTCCATAACGTTTCACAGAAATATTATAACTATTTAATATTAGTAAGATGCATAACAATAAGATACTGTTAGAGTTTAGAGGAACAACCACTTTTAATTAATACATGCAGAAAGGTGTATCAAAAAGTTCGAATTATGTATGAGTGTGCTCCAGAATTAATCATTCATCTCTGGTGCAACATCCATCCGTTGGACACAGATGATTATTCACTTAACTATATTATTTATGAAAATACCATTTCCCTCGGCGCTGAAGATGAGGGCCCAAAAACTTAACCTAAATGGCTTGTAGAGCCAAATAAGAATTATCCTGCCGGTCCGAGGGAAATGAGATTTTCCAAAAGCCGCTGGCCACGCCCACGCTTAACAGCGCCCTCTTAGCTGGCAACTAATTGCCTAAGCCCCAAGCTGAAGCCAAATGCGATGCTAAAGCTGGATCTGCGGCCAGTCCAGAGTCTCAGCTCTACTGAGATTAATTACATTTAAATAAACAGGAATGGCTGCAAACATGGCCAAGACCGCAACACTTACATGAACAATTCAACCGAACAGACAACAATAGACAGCCGACAACTCACTCAACTCGACTGTCTGGGTTCAATTGAATCACTTCCATTGGGCTACTTTAAGCTGATTACAGCAGAGCTTGGGTTGAGGTAGACATTTTGCACAAACTAAATCATTAGCTTTTGTTTTGCAAACCAGCACATTTCACTTACCAGGAAAATGTTGTACATTTGACAAGGGTATCGATGGGGAGAACCTCCACAGTGCTGTTTAAAATATTAGTGGTAAAAGGATCTGTAGTAAGTGGGTTAATAGTAAAAGGAATGTGATTTTGACTAGTTTTACTTAAGGATTTTAGTGAATGAAAATAATCAGGGAAAAGTTAAATAAAAACATGTATCTGACCACCTACGAGTGTACTCCTGTTCCAAGGACCTCTATTACTATTTTGAGCGCAGTTGTACATGGCATATCTTTGGGTGAATGAAAGTCAAAGCCGAGTTTAATGCCGGGCTTAGTGATAGCAATAGCCAGCCCTTTGCATATGGCATATGGCAAATGCCAAATGATTTATGACTGAAGCGGCCGACGCAGTCAGCAGACTTTTGTCCCGCTGACAATTGGTGGTGAAAAGCGTGAAAAACTGTCGGCCACATGGAAAATCTCGGTGTGAGTCGGGTAATGTGGGCAAGCGGCAGAGTAAATTCAATTTTACGTTTCACAACTCAGCATGATTTCTATCAAGCCGGGGGATCCCCTTTTCCACACTGTGTACCGCAAACTGATTGCTTTCGGTGGTCCCTCGACTGTCCGTGTGTGTGTGTGCTGCGTTTGGGTGTGTGTGTGTGTGTGTGTGTGAGTAGCTCCAAAAGCAGGCTACATAAAAAAATCACTAAAAACTTGTAAAAGCATCAAAGCGCACTTTCTGAGCTCCCTACTCGAAAAAGTTGCGCTTGCTCGGCCCATTGTTGTTGTATCCTTAGTGTTTCCTTTAATGCTCGTGTTGTTGCTGTTGCTGTTGTTGCTGCTGCTGTCGGTGGAAAGTTGAAAACTTTTCAAGTGAGTTTTGAGGGCGGTTTTTGGGGCTAGCTATTGGCAAAATTGCTTTCTGATAGCTTGTCTGGTGTATTTATGCAGTTTTAATGAGAGCTGCTTGTAAAGAGGTTGTTGTTGTTAATACAGGAAATTAATAAGTTAAGTAGCCATTAGGTGGTTGAGTGCAAAGTTGAGATTATAAGCGCTTTGAAGTGCTCGTCAAAAATATGCATATTCTTTATCAGCTTTTTATTAATATTTGTATTAATATTTAATATCTTGCACAAATAATTTCACAATGCATACGTTTTGCACATTCATGTTTCAGCTTTTAAAGGGAGAACGTGAAACCCTAGGCATATCCCATTTCAAGCCGAATTATTACTTTATTTTTCCAGTAAAGTCTGAGATGAAACACGCGTCTGTGCTTTCTCCAAATGTTTTTGGCTTATTTTATTCTTGCGACTGCTGCTTAAGCCGCGTTTTATTTTCACTTGAGGCAAGTGTAGTCATCTGTGAAAATATTGGCAAAACTCAAACAGCGCCAGCATTTGACATAAATCCTTATTATCCCTTTGTGCACAAATTGACATTGCACTTGTAAGGCGATTGCCGAGACTCTGCTTGACATCCCCTCTTGCCCCCCTTTGCCAAAGCCCCGGATGCCTTTCAACTTTTATCTGTGGCTTTGTTTTCACTGCCAATGCAGTGGGCGTGGCATTAGCAGCATCTGACAAGTGCAGGATGCCCTGGCTGTGCTGGCAATCCTGAAAGCAGCCTCGTCCTCGACAAGTCTTCGCACTTAATTGAGCCTGACACACCGCTGCAGAGCGCAAAATTATGAAAACGTGGCACGATATTCAGCTATTTAAGTTCGATTATATGAAATTGGAAGGGGATAAAATCAGTAAGCCCAAGTGTTACTTTTCACTGACTCATGCACTTCTTGATAAGACGCCCAAATGTTATTTATCAATGAATAAGTGCTGAAATTAAAATAGCACCGATTGATACTAAAGTTTATTGTTTAATATGCACAGCGTATACACGAATTTTCCAGCCCATTCCGCGCAGTGTACCCTCTTCGCATAAAGTGCACGAAATTAAAATTCATAATGTTGACTTTAATGGGGCTAATGCTGAAATATCAAAGCTGCTGGCTTAGGTGGCAGCCAGCACATCTCATAGATTAGCCAGGCTGCCATGTAAGCGGAGCCAAGAAATCCTGGCCAAAAGGCGTCTTCTTCCTGTCAGCCTGGCGTTTTATTATGCGACACGCAGCCCAACCACCTTAGCCGAAAAAGCGATGGAGCATTGGAGCAATGGAGCAGAGGCGCCCAACTTTGACGTTATTAAATTATGCGGAGATTTGCGCACTTTTTTTTTGGGATTTTTCGAAAGCCTCTTGACGTTCTTAATGATGAGGCAGCTACTCGCCCGCCGAGTAGGCCGAAATTAAATTATTTTATTGCCGGAAATTCATTAAATCATGCCTTTATGCAATTTCCAGACTACATTGCTGGCATACCCAAGTGGGGAATCTGTCAATTTATCTGCCTGTTGGCCAGATGGACAGCCTGTCGGCATTTTTGTTGGGGCCACGCCCTGTCCCACTCGGAAACGCCATTGATTAGGACGTGCCGTTGTTAACATTTCTATTATGCTGGTTATAACGCCGGCTTATTGTTTACTCGGCCGCGGAAAATCGATTGAGTTGTGATCTATTTCCAGACACATGCTAAAAGCCCAAAATCCCTAGCAACGCGACGAGACAATGCAAATCTGACACCGCCAGCGAAGTGGAATTTTATTTATGTTTTCACTGGACGGCTGGAATCTAAGCCGAGGGCTTAGTCACGGCAAAACCGAAAAACCAAAACAATCATCAAAATAGAATCATAAAAACAGTTAGCAACGATCATAAATTTTTCACAAAGACATAAAAACTGTGCCACGTGGGGTGCGACATAAAACCGCCGTACTCCTACCTACATCTATATATATGTGCTATATGTTTGGCAGATGTATGGCCTCGACATTTGCTGGCCGAATAATCCCTGCAAATCAGCAGTTTTCCCAGTTATTGGGACACATACATTTCATCTAATAAATCTGGGAACAATAAAAGAAAAATTTACATTTTTATAGGAGTGACGGCGGCCAGAAGAATCGTTAGTCAATTCAATTTAATATCCCATGCGATCCAATCGGGCTTACCTTGCGTATGCGTAATGCCCATGAAATTGCATTGCTCTAATATGAAATACGTATATACATAATTTCATCTGTCTGGCCATGGAAAAAACTCATTAAAATGCTAATCGACTTTAGTCACTTATGTACGAGTACTAGATGGGCATCGCACTTACAGCTGGCTTTAAAAGAGCGAGTCTATTAAATCGTGAAAAAATAGACAAAAGCAAAACCTTATCTCCATAAAAGGCAGTCGTACCACCCGCTAATTCGCGTAATTTTCCAGGAAACCACTCCCCTCGCATTAACTGAATAAAATATACAAAAATTGCGTTAATTTTTTAGCATGTTGCATGGCTAAAGCAATTTGTCCACAGGTCCTCTGCTGCTACACACGGAGAAAAATAGTTTCGGCAAAAAATCGTTTTAAAATCGTTTAGTTTTGCATATAGAGCAAGCAAATTGAAAAGCCACTTTTTTGTATTAAGCTACTCTTTTATTCACCCTATTTTTATCTACCCTTTCAACGCGAATTTTTTTTCCGTGCACCCAAACGACTCCCCGATGATTTGGCCAGCAACTTTTTTAAGTACTTGACATGAAAATTGCGGAACAAAACTCCAGCCAGACCCATCTGTAAAATTAAACGCACGCCAAGCTCGTGCCCCACTGCATAGAGCCCACTCCGAATTTCCAATTTCGGATACCAGAAACCCAGTTCTCCAAAGTCCCCCCCGATGTTTGATGCTGCACTGATGTTTATCATAACCGCCTACAACAACCACAATGACAGGGACCACAGCAACAATATGGTTGCCCATTGCCGCACCCAGCCAAATAATTTGCTGGCAGGCGTAGCTAATGACCAACTCGTGTAAGTGCGATGGATGGATGGATGGACGGATGGGCGGTGGTTGCTGGGCCAGCGGATGAAAAATCAGGACGCAGTAGCTCCCGAAAAAAACACAGCCCGCACAGCTCGGAAACAACAGCAACAATCACAAGTTTTGCTACAAGCAAAATGATGGCATGAATTCATCATGGCAGCGCTGGGCGAGAGGAGCCACCAACTCGGACTTTGGCAGTGCCACTGTCCCCAATCCTTGTTTTCCAGGTCCCTGGCCCCACCCGCCCATGGTTTTTGTTTGGGGGAAATTTAAAATGAGTGCACTGCGGGAAAACTGCATATGAAAGTGGGTATTTAATGTCTGATTTCTATCTGTCAGCTTGCAAAAGTAAGCAATCAATGTTTTCCTAGGAAACTAAGCACTTGGTGTCCTAAGTGTTTCATGCCACGAAGCTGTGTTGATTTTAGTCCGTGGGATTAATGACTGTTTTCTGCATTTTTTTGCCGTGCAAGGACACAAAGTCTTGCTCGCTCCAGGGAGATAAACAGGAAAGGACGAGGATGAGGACGAGGATGAGGAGCGACATCGTTCGCTAATTTTATGCTCTTTTGTGATTTTTGTGCCGGACACACCCTGTGGGCATGTTTAGTGTCCTTTCGCTTTCCAAGTAAATGCAAACTTTGCGCGCTTTTGTCATTAGCGTTGATAGCTGTAACGTGAACAGGAAGTCGGGGAGATACCCAGCGGGTGGGCGGGGTGGCAGGAGATAGCTCCTTGCCGGCTGCCTTTTTGGCCGCTTTTCACGTGTTGTTGGCCCTATTTGTAGACGGCGCTGTTGTTGTCGTCATCTGGTTTGCGGTCCCCAACAGTTTGGTTACTTTTAATGAGCGGGGCGTGGCACATAGCCTGAAACACTGGTACTAGGCGGTGGGCGGTGGGCGGTGGGTGTTAGAGTGGGGTGCTCTCATTAAGTTGCGGTCGTACAGTTTTATTTCACTCCCCGCTAATGAAAGTGAATTATTAAATGAAAGCCAGGCAGCTGAATGAAATGGCAGCAGTTGATTCTTTCGCCGAGTGTTGAACTTGTGACCCACCTACAAGTCGTTGTCAGTACTTGAAAAATACCCTTCCACTCCGAGTGCTGGTGCCAACCAGATTCGTTGAACCCCCCCACCCTACACATGGACATCCACATCAAAGAAGTTCATCCAGGAGGCGAATGGTGACCCACTTGGAGCATTCAAATTCACCCAATGGCTGCTTATTAAAGTGCCATCGTTCAGACATGTGCTTCTGCATATCAAAATGTATGCTAATGTCGGCATTTTTAAGAAGTTCAACGAAAAATAACAGAAGAGCTTAAAATTGCTGTTGTTGAAATACCTTTGAGTTGTAGCCAAGATAATTTTCATTAAGTGGAACTGAAGAGGTCGGTGGAATGTGTGGTGCTAAGCAGCTGTTAATAATAATAACTTTGTTATTTGAAATTGTGTGTTTTTTCAGAAGACTTCAAAGAGTTGATTATTGCGGCTAAGCGTTTTTGTGTGAACAAAACTACGTTTATTATTCATTTATCAAAGTTAAATGAAATGGACAAGTGAAACGGGTTTTTCGACGACTTTTCTACAAAAAACAGCATACCCCTTTTTACACATAAAAAACCTAATTACACGGTAAGAAAAACATTGGCGTAGGTGTATTCCTGTATCTACATATGTACGTTTCATTAAATTTGCAATCGTTTTTAATTTATGCCCAGATAAAAGCAACAGCTGGCCCCCAGAGACGCAGACAGAGGCAAATTAAATATGTAATAAATAAATCAGCCTGGAATGTATGAATAATGAATGGCTCATGTCGACTGCCTGTTTTCGAGCTTGGTTTGCTTGGGTTTTCTTCATTTTAGCTTGGTCTTCCATTGCTTTTCCTTTACATTGTTTGAATTCAGAGAGCAAATATTTTAGCAACCACAGCAGAAAATAGATTACTCCTAGTTATATTCCGAGCAACAATTTATGCAAATGTTTGAGCTCTTGTTCAGATGAATGGCGCTTACGCCCTGTAGTCACCCTCGTAGTTCGATGTTTTCCGCTGGAATTTTCTTTAATTAGTGCAACGAACTGTGTGCCACGGCGGGGTGCAAATAGCTTCTACTGTTCTCATAGTGGTGAAGGTGTAATGCTATTTTGAACATAATTGCAACGACACGCGGGTCTCATTTGAAAGTTTTGGCAGCCTCAACCGCAGCAAAGCAAAAACACACACACCAAAGCAGCGGTTGCCACATCAGCAGCAGGAACTAAGCACATAACAGCACTGAGCGTAAAACGTACCGATCCTAGTGCTAAATAAATTAAATTTTAATAATTAGTGTTGTCTGCCAATACTTACATTTCTCTGAGGCGAGATGTTGCGAGATGAAGCAGGGAAGTCTACTGTAAATAAGTACTCGCCTCGATGCACAACACATTTCTCCCAGTGTAAATTGAATGTGTCTGCCTGTGGGTGTGTGCGCCGTGTTTGACGGACACACACACGCCAGCGAGCATGTGTCTGCAACAACTTGGTGGCTTGCTTGCGCAAATGTGCAAATATTTCACTTGCAGCGCCTGGAGTTATGCAACACTAATTTGCGAGGCGTTGTTTTTGTAGCTGCCACTAATTAGCGTCTAATGCAGAAGCGGCAGCAATAATAATGTGGTTCCTCCTCGAGGTCCTTGTTTTAGGATGGCCATCGCCATCGCCGTCGCCATTTCCATTGCCTGATTCCTGATCAAGACGCTAACGCGCAGGGAGGCAATAAAAATCGCATGAAAGCAGCGAAGACATCAAAATAAAATCTCACCAAATGGCCGTGCATAAAACTTGACAATTTGTTGGTCAAAACTTCTCACTCCACGGTCAAGTATTTTGCAAAACAATACACCATTTAACTGCTTCAATTTGAGTTTGGTTGTAAAACTTTCTCTTTGCTAGCGTTTTTTCTTCCTTTTCGTTGCCCCATTTTACGTATCTATATAAATTAGGAAGTGTGTGTGTGTGCTTGCGCGTAACCTTTGAACCAGCGGAACAAAATGGTTGAAAGAAAAAATGCTTGCCAAGTTTATTAAAAGTTGCGGCAAGTTGCAGACTCTGTGAGTCGCCCCACCCGGCCAAGAAATGGGGGGTTGAGGGACGGGGGAGGGGCGCGGCGAAAGGGGGCGTGGCAGGAAGTGAGCGCTGACAGCCAGCAACTGACAAATGCCAACGCTAACTCACTCAACTCCACGCAAAATAAAATAAAAAATGCTCAAAACGGCCAAGAAGAAAGATTTCAAGTTTCTTGCTTCGCACTTTCTTGTGTTTTTGTGTTTTCTTTTGTTTCTACTTTATTGCTCTTGTTGTTTGTGTTTTCAGTTATTTTTTTGGCACATGTTTGAGCGGTTTTTTATTATTATTATCTTTGACCTGACCTGGGACCTCGGCTCCTTTCAAACATTTTTTCCCCAGCTTCCTATCCTTTTCCGTGTATCTCAATTCTTATTTATGCACAAATTTTTTCGGTGCTTTCTTATGCATTTTGCGTGTAACTTTTGCGTATATTTCACAGAGTTCCACCGTGTTTTTAGGTCAATGGGTTGTGCATACATTTTGGAATGAAATACTAATGGGGTTTGGACCATTATGTTGCCATAAATGCTATTTGGGGGAAAAATTCACTGCAAATTATGGTTATATTTCGAAAATAAATGTTGTATTTAATACAAAACGCAAAGCACACCTTCGTATGTAGGGCATTTTTAGATTCAACTGATACCTAACATAAGTGTTCCATTCAAGGTCTATAAGATCTCTCTAAAAACCATGTTTTCCACACCTTCCATTAGAATCGCACTACTTTTGGCAACATTTTAAGGTCTTCTGTTCGATCGGTTGTGGACTCAACCACTGGAGAGCTACCGACACAGATTCTAATAAACATCAAACACGCCCCACGATTGCATGGCAAACAGACCAAAAGTCCGGCAATCTGAACTTTGGACATCAACTGCCGGACTCGCAGTTCAACAAGCTTTGCTCAAGCATCGATAACGTGACTACACTACTCCTTCCCACTTTCTCCGTACATTTCTCCCCGAATTTCTCCCCGAATTTCTCCCCGAGTTTCTTCCCGAATTTCTCCCGGTATCTGCAGAGATGTTGATGACGACGATTCGATGGGGGATGGGCAAGTGGCTGAATGTGGAGGGGCTGTCCCTGCGAGGCTCTGGCAAAACGTCTCTGATTGAACACAACAATTTTCAAATTGCTAGGCACACACGCACACTCGCACACTCGCACGCTGAGTGGGCGGAAAATGGGAAAGTACAGGGGGCGTGGCCGTGCGATGGAGCTCTACACGTTCGCATTACGTGCTGGTGACATTAGTGCCGAAAACGAGCAAGTGAAAAATTTAAGCAATCCTGCGTCCTGGCTTCAATCAATTGGCAGAAATTCGCATCTGCTGGCCTGCACTGTCAGCAATAAGGGGCATCTTTCACTTCTGAGCCCTAAACATATTTCATGCGGTTAAATTGTAAATAAATACCTTTAAACAGATTTTTGAGCTTAACGTTCCCACAGAAACCCACTTCAAATCGGGCACTTTTTATGAATTACTCTCGACTGCGAATAAAGTTAGCATTTCATTACTAAATGATCGGTTTTGGAAAGTTCTTTTGGCGCGGTGCGTCACTCGGGGATGTTTGCCAGTGTTGTTCCGAGGACGTCTCGCATTTCCGGCACATAGCCGTTAAATGATTTTTAGCAAAAATCGTGCGGACATGACACACTCAAGTGGCTACCAATTTCGATCCCAGTGCCAGTGCGAGTGCGAGTGCCAGTGCCCCCCATCGAGATTGCTCACCCCCAGTTGAGATGCCTTGGCCTATCGATGGATGTTCTGAGCCATGTCGAGTGGCGGGGAGGGCTCTCCAGTAATTTCCATTAAGTAAGTGTTTTGGCACTTAAAGCTCGACTGCAGTGGCATTGGCTGCTGTGATTGCATTAGACGACAAGTGGTTGGCCAAGTGTCGAGAGCCGAGTTTTGGGCTCTCGGCTCTCGTCTTTGCGTTCTGACCTCTGACCGACGAGAGGACAAGCGCCTTAAAGCCGCTCAAGCGCGCATTTACCGCCATTTCCTGGACGTTCACCTGGACTTAAAGCCTGCCATTGCATTTATTTATGTTCTAACACTGAGCATTCGTGAAAAGACTTATTGTTGACGTACTAGCACTAACTGCAGAGCTCTATTTATCGGCTTTTCTGTCTGTGTAGTGGCTGCTTTCTGTTGTTTGCTGTCAGCGTTTTACCTGAGCCAAAAGTTGGCCAAACAACAGCTGGCCTGGGCAACTGGCCTCCCCATCGCTGGCTTGTCATCACCATCATCATCTGGGTCGTTATGTCAATGTATGGCTGCTGTGAGCGGCCGATGGGATGTTTAACAAAATCTTCGTTTTGAAAATGCCATTTCCGACAATTTCCCGGAAACCTAGCATCCGCCCACGAAAAGGGGCGGGGAGACAGTGGCGACTGACGACAACGCTAATGGCGCCATTGTTGTATATATACCTAGTCACAAAGTCAGGGAATTGGCGGCCTAACGCTCATTAGGCAGCTCCTTTACAAGGACCCAAAATCGGAGCTTGGTTTCGTTGGTCTTGGGTTGAATGGTAGAAAAACTATGCGTGATTTGCTTCGATTCATCGTAGCATAATTAAAACATACTCTGTGTGCTAAGGAAACACAAAATCCTGTTTTTAGTTAGCACTCTCTTTGCAATTGCTTCAAAATATAGCAATAATATTGCCATTATACATATTTCACAAGCATCTACCAAGAAAAGAAGCAACTTTCAGGTGTACCAAATTCCCATAGACTGTGATTAAGTTAGTTCCGAATCAAGAGGTTCCCAGAAAATCAGTCGAGTGATCTGCTCAAGTGAGCACTGGGCTAGCCGAATTTGCGATACGTTTAAATTGATTTGACTTCCTCCTTGGGATATGTAAATATTCGTCTCGTAATTATTTACATATTCAGTGGGGTTGTGCGCCGTGATTAGATTGATTGGGACTCATTTGCATGATACTTCTAGCAGCCATTCTGCAGGTGGTAAAGGATTTACCACTCCACGTTGGCTTTGATTGCTGCGCCGTTGTTCATGAAGTGCCCGTCCATTCAGTTGGCTTTATGCCTGCTTTTCCGTACTTTCTGCTTGCTCCCCGCCTCTTTCAAAACACAACCCGACCCCGGGCTTATTGGGTCAAGCGTCCTGGCCACAGAAAATGTGTAGCGAGCGACAACAATTGTTTTACAGCCAACCCCCAGAACTGGTTTATCAACAGCTCCTTTGGCCTTCAGTGGGAAACAATGGGAGCACTGTAAAAAGCTCTTTAGTTAGTATTATGCTGATCTCATTAACGTTTCATTTGAGTTTAAAAACTATAAAAATTAACTTCTCAAAGCAATACACAAGTCAAATATACTGATAATTTTACAAGCATGAATAAAAGTATATTGGCGTAATATTCTCCCAGTGTGCTGGTCTCTGTTGGCAACGTTGAGTTTGAGTTTTTCCAGTGAAAAATCAAGTTCATTTCTGTGCAGTCTGCCGTGAGACTGAGCCGAGTTCTTGTGGCCCAGAGTCTCGGACTCG